AATCAATAGTTTTACTTACTTTTTTTTTTTATAGCCATGACCAAGTTTTTGTAGTTTTTAAAGTAAACCAAGATCAAATTTAGACATGTTGTTTGAAATTAGCGAAGATGACACACTTCAGTGCCAGACAAACGCCCTGATTTTAAGAGTCGGTTTTTGCCTTCCCTGAAATGCCTAGCTCGGGCAGTGTATTTTTATGCCTGCAGATATTGGCATGTTTCACATTTAAGATTATGACACATCAACTTATTTTGAAATTTTTAAGTCTTCCACTGCGCATGTTTCAAGTACTTCATGACTATCACTGATAATTGAGCAATTAACTTAAAATTACAAAAATTTGCTGTGGTGGCACAATATGTAGTAAGCAACATGAAAGAATAAAAACAGAAGAACTTAGTACAGTGGAAAAAAAAGTAATAAAGGGTAAAAATAAGCCTTAATAATAATAATAGTACTACGTTTTAATGGTCCCAGGTTTCAGTGGTTTAATGGTGCCAATAAAATGGCTTAATGAAACAAGTACAGAGTATTACAAACTTTTTAAAGCAGTGTGTTCTGGGGCAACAAAAAGGAAGCTTCATTCTAATTGGTCTTGCATAATATTCAGGGATTGGTCCAAAAAGTAAGTATGGGAGTTTCATTAGACAACAAGTAGAAAATAATTAGGTTAAATCCTGACAGGCAAATTCTTAAGAAATACAGGCCTTCAAAAAAAGAGATGTCAAATCTTCCTTTAAGTATAAGACAGACAAAGCAAGACCTCTAGGGTTAAAGATGACCTCAAGAAGTCATCAAGCTATTGTGGATATATCTGCAAATCAAAAATTAAGATACACAGCTTGACATCAAGAGAAAAGGATGAACCTCAGTTATACTAGAAAAACCAGAATGCCTCTTCACTGTTCATCTCATCAAGGTCTCTAATACGGGCTTTTCCAGCTAAAACCATAGTGAACAGTAGCTTTTTAGTGCTTAAATATAGTCAGTGAAGCAAATTCCATAAACCTAAATCCTACCTTATTTCCGTGGCAGGCCATCTTAAAGGTTTGCAAGGAAAACCAACAATTTAGAAAGTCAGAGAGGGAAGAAAGATTCAAACTACAGCAAATAAAGAATGCTATTAAAAAATTTTTTTCTCAAAATTCCATCCATATTGCTCCAAAACACAACTAAGAGATTAAAAATAGGCCAGGCTACACTTTCAGGTATAAATTAGAAGCAGAAAATGAAGCAAGCAGAAAGAACAAGTGTCTAAGGCACTAGAATATAAAACTTTAAAAAGCTTAAAATATAATGGATATACACATTCAGATTAGCAAACTGCTTTCAATTAAAGTAGATTTCTAGCCACAGTTCACAAATGTATGGTAGCTGTGTGTATCAATGTAGATACTTCAAATGTCAGTATATCTCTAATTAACATGAGCACACAACTGTAAAACTGAGAAGGCACAATTTTAAATTCCTTACATTCCCAGCATTAATGCTTTCATGGGGCAGCGCCCGTTGTCATGGAAAATGGCATTCAAGCCCTATTTGTGGATTTTCACAGCTCATCTTTTTTATTTACCTGCTCTATGTCAAGATTAGCCTGGAATAATATTTTTTAAAGATAATGCACTTAGACCTACTTGTCCTTAAAATCACAGATGTTTTCACTGAGGGAGCTTTGGACTGGGCTATGCTCAGTTTGAAATAGATTTCTGTCCATTTAAAAATACCACAATAAAGATGAATTCGTGACTTTTTTGTTGTTGTTGCTAATTTCCTAAAAATTCATGCACTTCAAAAATTTCAGCTGAAGCACAACCTGTGACAGTTTTGGAATCGGGGGTTAGGCCAACGTCAGGGAGGAGCAAATGATCCAGAAACAGAGGAAAGTGAAGTGGCAGAAAGCTCTCTACAATCTCCTCCTTGACTTCCTTATTCCACCTCAACTTTCTGAAAATACTTGTATAGCAATCAAATGGAGACTGAGATAGTGATCAAAAACAACAAAGGAAAGAGTTAAAATACTCTCTGAGAAAGGACAACCTGATATAATGGAAAGAGCACTAAAAGGTTAAGTCCTGCAAAAATGAAAATAATTCCTACTCACCTCGAAGAGTTTTTACAAAATTAAGCCAATTTAATATCTGCAAAAACAAGTGTCATACCAAATCAAGATATTGTTATTATTTCCTGAAGCATGGGCTAAGCGATAATCACTTTTTGTACCAGACAATAAAATACTTTTTGTTCCTTTTTCAGGGAAAAGGTTGCTAGTAGAGACCATGAACAGAGATAGCATTTTATAAAAGGGAATTCATTTTCAAATTACTAAAAAGGGTTGGGTAACCTGAAAAAGCAGGTTATCTAATTATCTATTTCTGTTTTGTTTTGTTTTGTTTTTAATCAAGCATTTATTGCTCTGGTAAATTAAATGGTCAGAATTCCATAAGTATTTTTTAATTAGACATAAAAAACTAAATGTGGGACATTAACATGGAAAACAAGGTCCTATTACACAATGCCTACTTTGGGAAAAGAAAAGGGTAGTTTTAGTTTTTAAAGAGGGGGATAAAAACCTATAATAAGATGCTTTCAGCTTCTGAAAAGATAACCACTTTTGTTCACAGTGTTTTCCTCTTCTGACCTAGGTAGTAGATGTGAGTAGGTAAGATTCCAATCGGTTCTCACACACCCTTGGTGTGGCCCATTCATTATGGATGTGCAAAACAATATCCCACCTTCCTTATCTCACAGACCGGCTTCTGCACACCTTACTAAGAAACCTTCCCATGGCCATGAGGTATAACTTTCTGCCTTAGATCATGTAGCAAATAAGCAGTTCCAGGACATGGAAATTAAAGTTCCTAAAAGAAGCCATTGTCATTGATCCCATTTGCTTTTTCTTAAGCCAAAAATAGATAAATATTTTTATTGTTTTAGCTATCTCATCATTCAGTGGAAGTGGTAGACAGTTTCCACAATAATTGAAAGAAATGGGAACACAAGCATTCCCATGTTAATTTTATCTGACTTATCTTAGTCATAGTATCTTGCTACATTTCTTTAATGAGAAGGTTCCACAGTCAGAAGAGGGCCCTAACAAAGCCTGAGACCACTGACCAAAGGAACAACAAAGCCCAGGCCCTAATCTAGCATATGGAAATTCTCAAGACTGGAAAACAATTACTTTAAGGCCTGTATGATTAGCATAACTTTTGTCTAAGTAATCAAGACAAAATCTGAAGTTGAACTCCAGAAATAACCATATGAAAACTATACCCACAGAGACCCATCTTCTATTTTTAGCATCTCTTTGTTAAATCACAAGAAAAATCTCAACTATTTGGATCACCTCCATTCAAAGTTAGTCGGTGTATGATGGGAGAGGGGGGAGTAAAGAATTCAGGAAACAGAGAGCCTTCAGGTGATGACAACTGTAGAGAATATTTCAATAAAGGCAATCTTAGTTGAAATGCCAGTAAATTATCTTGTATTTGCCATTTTTAAATTTTAATCATCTTAAAAACTTACAAAAGGAAATGATTGAATAATATGACAGAAGAGAGAAAGGAGGTAAAAGAAAAGACAAAGCAACTAAGATAAGATTAGAAAAACTCGAAATTATTTCCTTTTATTCAGATTTCTAGTAAGATCAGCTCAGCCCCTTGGAATCATCCTTTTTCTCCAGAACCCCATGAAAATAGTTTACATTTCTTTCCCCGTCTTCTTTGCCTCCTAATCCTCACTATGATACCTTGCACAAATTAAAAGCTTATATGTAATGCAAATGAACCATGTAGTTTAATATTTTGTGTTTTACATAAGACTAGTTTCAAAATAAAGTGTGAATTGATAGTTTCATAAAAATAACATATTATTCTTAAAACATGAAGAACACACAAAATGTATTAAACTATATTAAACATTTGTGTCTTCTTTCTGAGGTTCATTCTAAATGCCAGCTCCAATCAATGGTACTACTGAGAGAAAGGTAAAGCTGTTTTTATTTTAGTTGTAATTCCAGTTTGGTCCTGGGAGCATGTCCTTGCATCATCCACTTACTCCACCTCCATTTCTAATCTCCAGCCATCAGGCTGGTTTTAAATAAATGTTTGCTGCTTTCTGCTTAAATACAGAATAACTTAAACTCTAATTGATACTGTTACTTTTTTTAAAAATACTTTCCTAGAAGTATATTCTCTAAAGTTCTTGACCAGAGAACACTAACGGAGGAAAAGTTTCTATGTCTTTGTTGTTATCAAATGTAAAGCAGCCCTTGAGATGCCCGTGGGTTACAACATAGTACACATATAAATGTATTTTAGATTCTACTCAAATAGTCTGTTTTTTAACAGACATCTTTAATACCTGCCACGTATTCTAAAGTACTTCTATATTAATAAGTATATATCAATTTAAAGTACTTTAATTGATCATTCAGGTTCATTCAAATTTTTTCTTGAAATTTACCTTCTTTCCTGAGAAAAAGTATCTTTGTTCTCCAAAATACTATTAAAATATAATATTGTTTTGAGAGATGGTGAAGAAAGCAAGGAAGGCCCCCAATTTGATATATATTATACATTCACTAAATAAGACTTTGGTTCCTTAGTACATGATCTCCTATACTGGCAGCTCTTTGAACTCTGTATCATCTCACCTCTTTTCTGTGAGCACAAGCACACAGCACTTTTCAAGTCCAGACAATCAGAAGACTAAGAATTTACCAGGGTAAACTATCCATGTGTATCTAGACAAGCCCCTGTAAGGTAAATCATTCCTACAGTTGAGCCTCATCTCAAAAAGTAAGATATCTATTCTTTCAGCGTATTGTAATGGGCCCTAATATTTTTTTCTATACTCCTCTTAAGAAAACACAAAAAAATTATTAACACTTAAAAAACTAATAAAAATTCACATGCTAGAGGACTTAAGAACTTGTTTACAAACTATAACTTCCATGACACAATGAGAAGAGTAATAGTAATAAATAAACCAATACTTACAAATACGCCAAAAAAAATCAGCCCCAGCACCCAAAATCACTGGTAAATTGCCTTTGAATTCATGAAAGTGACCTGAAAATTTAGAGAGAAAATGAAATTTAAAAAATTAGGTAAGTTGCCTTTTTATGCTTTATTAAAAAAAGTATACATTTGACTACAAATCACACTATTTTTAAGTCAGGCATTTGTTCCCATCTACTCTTACAACTTTTTCTAAGATGACAATAACAAAAGAAACAATTATTTCATTATTCTATTGCTAAGAATGCAAAATCTCCATCCATTATAGCTTTTTATATAATGTTAGTAATAAACTTTGTGTTTAAAAGTGTAAGTAAATACAAAAGGAAATATTTTTATAAAAAGAAATAAAGGCTTACAAGTTACATTTGAAAAACATGTTTCATTTATGTCTGCAAGTTAAAATGAATTAGCTTCACAGAAAATATCTTGGATGTGTTCAACAAGAATACCTTATAGGTAGAATAAACATGAAAGGATGCCGTTTTTGTTCTACATAAAGTGTGGAACCCATTTAGACTCTTAGGTTATACACAATGCATTCTGTATGAGCCACGATTCAATTCAAAATTCTTTTGCTTGCACACACTTTAGTTCTGGCCGAAGAGGTAACAGATGCAACTCAAACACACAGAGCTAGCCTTGTAAAAAGTTTAACTAGCACAATGAGTCACTTTATGCCTCTAAATATCTATGGTTTCCTCTCTCCAGAACCCCCATGCATTAGAAGGTAGTTTGGTAGTTTATTTTTATTGTTTGGTCTAAATACAGCACATTTTTAGTTTCATGAAAACAAAGAAACTTTGTTGCAAAGGCCGTATTCTTTCCCAAATGTGAGGATGCTATAAGTAGTGTTCAACTGAAAATAATAATGGAGCTTAGGTTCCTAATTTAGGTCAGAAACTTTTCTAGACTCTAGGGATTGGTTTGATTCAAAACGCTTTTTTTAAAAAAATATGGCCAGTAAACATCTAGGTTAGTTAACCTACTTAGCTAACTAGATTTTTTTTTAAATTCATTCTGAAAAAAAAAAGAATCTTGATCAACAGCATTTGTAGGAATCACTGCTCCCAATGTTGCACTTATAGTACAAATGGCCATAATAAATTGGGTATTGGCACCTGAATTAAGTTGAGATACAAAATAAATATCTAACTCAGCCCTTCCCCAGCTCCTATAACATGCTTTTGCCTAAGTGACCCAGATAATTTATTGTATTTTCAAGTCAGGATTAACAGATAATGAATCTGTCCTGGGCATTTGGACAGCTTTAAGTATCAATGGCTAGTATACCCATTAGGTTTCTTCACCCAGACCTCCTTCTCTTTTTAGGGAATAGTGCCTGGGCCTTCCCCAATTCAGTTTGCAGCAACTCTGTAATGCCTACTTCCATAGATGCAATAAGTCCAGGAGAGTCTGGCCAAGGGAAGGTAGCTCTCTCATTTATTTTGGTATTACACCCTTCTCCTCATGACTTTCTGATGTCTTAGGAACCAGGAGAGCAATTTTATCTGGGACATCACACAACCCTATGTGGACACACTCTGTGTACCATTCAAAGCCAGCAAAGAATACTGGCTCTGTTATAAGCTTTTCTCATACTTTATCCTACCCTGAATTATAAACTATAGCTTTGAAGTTATCCACAAAATAAATCTATAGCAAAATGTATATCTAAAGCCTAAACCCTGGAAGAATCCAAAAGGGGCTTTAAGTACTTGTATAGTTTTTTAAATAATCACACCTTGTCCTTCTAGCAAATCTTTTTTAAAGCATGAATTGAAATTATGCAACATACACAATACATCTCATTCTTTCATTTGCATTTAAATGTTGGGGGATAAAATAAAATGCATCCAGAAATATTGTGGCTAAGTATAGCTCTCTTTTTTTCAATAATTGTAGTCTTTAAGTTAAGATCTCTAACTCTGAAAATATTTTAAATTTGGAACAAGTTAAATTCCAGACATTCAGGGCAAATAATATTTTAATATGCATTAATATGAAGTCAACAAACCTCATTTGTCATATCAATGCAGTCTTGCTACATATGATAAAAACAACTCTGTATTTCATTATCAAATGATATACGCTATTGGTGAATTTTGTAGCAAACAATTAAAAAAGTATAAGTTTCTAAAAATCAGAGTTCATTATTATAACAAAGAGAAAAATAATTTAATACATACTTCCTCCTGCAGAGAATTTAGAAATAAACAAGCAACATATTATGATGCCTAAAGAGGTAAGAATCAACTCACAGGAGTTAACACACAACTTGAAGCAAGCTACTTCTTTGAGAACTAAAAAAGTTTAGGCTGAAGAAGATATTTCTAAAATAAAAGTAGCCACTTTGGTCCTGAAGGCAGCACAAAAGTAAGAAGACAGGAAGAAAATGCCAAAGCAAATCAGCATCTCTTCTAGAAAATCACAATCTGTTTAGTAAAATGAATTCTCAGAACACTCAATGACCATAGATTGTTCCATTCCTCTCTTTGCTCATTCATTCATTCAGCAAGTAATTAGAGATTGCACTGAACAATAAGAACACAAAATGTTTTTTAAAATAAATAAAATCCATGCTGTCTCAAAGGGTAAGAGATCCCTCCTTTACAGAAACATCAATGATAGAATCACTGATCAGCTGCATCCTGGGAATCGAGCCCACAACCCAAACATATATGCCGATCAGGAATCAAACCGTGACCTCCTGGCTCACAGGTCAATGCTCTATCTCTGAGCCATGCCAGCCAGGCAAATAAATGCTGAAAAATATTATGCTAAGTAACATAAGCCAATCTGAGAAAGACAAATATCACAAGATCTCACTTATTTGTGGAATCTAATGAACAAAATGAATTGACCAACAAAATAAGACCCAAAGCAGGGAGGCAAGGAACAGACTGACATATCTTGATGTGGGGTTGGGTGGACAAGAAGAGATAAACCAAAGGACTTATATACTTATTAGTGGCCCAGTGCATGGATTCATGCACATTGAAAGGAAATTAATTACAAGGTGGCCGGCGGGGCAGGACTGTGTGTGTCGGGCCAGACATGCCTGGAGCCAACCTCCTGTGGTCCCTCCCCGCCTGCTGCACCTGGGGCAGAGCCATGGCTCGAAGGGTGTCTGCAGTCACTGCAGCTCAGCAGTAAACCAGATTCGGGGCCAACAGTGTCCCAGCAATAACATAACCCACGGCTGAAGGCAGAATCGCGTGGCCCCTCAAGGAATCGGGCTCCCTCCTCTCTGGTTCTGGGGTGTGTCACCCAAGAACCACCACTGCCAAGTCACCGCAGCTTGGCAGCTCCTGTGTTGAGCATCTTCCCCCTGGTGGTCAGTTCACGTCATATGTACCAGCCAGTCGGCCAGTCAGCTGGGTCGGACAGTCACTTCGCCTTTTATATATATCTAGATATGCATAGCCCACGGACACAGGCAATAGGGTAGTAAAGACCTGGGTGGTGGGGAGGA